GACTACAGGGGGCATTTTGTTAATTTTTCTTGTGAGCAGGATAACTTTTGTATGTGTGGATGGAAGTTAATGAAATTTGATAGGCATATTACTGTCGTGGTCTTCAAGATTGAGTTCAAAGATGAGAGTCGTGGAGGTCGTTATGTCCCCGTAATAGGACCTTTTGTGTTTAGAAATCCCCCACCTACATCTGCTTGGAGACAGCCGACAGCTGGATATAGCCGGGGAACCCCATAATGGGATGGGATCAAATGACGTTACATTGAGGGATTGTACTATAACTTCGGCAGGGGGAGGATAGGTTGGACATATGTCAGGTTATTTTCTACGGCCACAGCAAGTAATTGCTATGGATGACGTCCACTGGAGACCTTAAATCTAATTACCTTAAATTTAAGGCAAGCGCGCAATAAAATCACGAAGGGCCGAAAAACGAGATGCCTAGATTTGGAATATACTAACTGTAGAAGTACAAATGTTAGGACACAAAGAACACAAGTCTTCTATTTGTCATAAAGACAAATTAACAAAACAGCAGTAGTCACCCTGTTCTGATTCTTTCCTTTATAACATCTTCTCTTATTATATTTTGCGGCGCTGTCGTGACACTTTCAACACAGTAAGAATTTCTTGAACGTTTTTTTCCAGTAACAGTCCAAACTCAAATAACGTGGGGGGGGGGGGGCTAACACGGGTGACGACGCATCTGTATAATCTGCGGCAAACCGTTTCAGGGTGTTCTGTACCACAAAAATAGTACAGAGATTCTTTTGTTCTTTAGACCAAATCGATTATTAAAAAGAGTGAAGAATACGCATGTTAATTTCTCTAGAACGATGTACCTCTGACGAAGACATGAGATCTCCGACCTCTAGTTATCAGTGACCTGTCCATGTTTGTTAGTGTAGATGCTAATGCTTTATATGTGCAAAATTGCAGAGGATTATTTGAATGCTGTTAGCTTCCTAAGTCAGAAACCAGGTAAGTTAATTTGTTTTCCCTTGGGCATGTTTTCTGTATAGGATTAGTATAGAACAATGTGATACAAATGTGGTAGGTGTTTCCACTGAAGTTATATCATATTCCTGCGAATTCAACTTATTGATGAAAGCTTAAAACTGTAGAAATGCTGATTTCTGTTGAATTATGGCTGACTTGATAGCTGACGACTATTTGCTCCCTGTGTTGTTTGGATTTCCCGGTGTGGAGGTTTAAAGAAGCGAGGCATTTAGAAGACAAACTGTGTTTGAAACCAAGACCCAGTTTAGATTTGGATTGGATTGGGTTGCTTGATTTGGGTTTCTGTCTTGGGTCAATTCAGGGTTAGAAAACAGGTTTCAAGTTTTGTTTTTTCTTTATTATTGGTCTGCCTGTCTGTGTTTCTGCATTGATATTCATTGTCAGCATATGAAGACCTAAACAGATTGTGATAGTTGGTATGTGGGTAGGTCTTGGGAAGACAAAGGTCAAGGTCAAATGTAGTTCTGCAGCAGTATGTCCAGTTTTGTTCCGATTGTTGCAACAACACAATACAATCTGAAACACCAGGTAACAATTGCTAGTGTCATACACCATACTTTATGAAACATATTCTAGAAAGCACTTTTATATTGGACCAAGTCTCAGTTGCCCCAAATGCGAAGTCTAAAATGTTATACTACTATTGGTGTAGAACAAATAGTTTGAATGGACACTTGTAACCCAGATAACAAGACCCTGGATATCTTCTCTTCTGTTATGTTTTTGTTTAGCTGCCATGTGTAAACAATATACATAAACAAAAGGTTTGTGTGAGTTGCTTATCACTTGTTAATTAGGTATAATGGGTTGTGGATTGTCTAGTGTATGGCTTCCTACCTGGATCTGTGCTGTTAATTGTTTTTGTGTCAAGAACGTACAAAGAGGTTGAAAACAATTAACTATGTAAACAACTGTTAATTGGATTAAACCATGTCATGCATACAACAACATGAAAGGATGAAATTACAAGGAAATGAATAATTTCCTTCTGCACTTTGGAAATTGCAGAAGTTTTTGATCATAGAAAGAATATTTATTTAGAAAATTGTTACTTCTTCCCTGTTGCTTTGGTGAAATAGTTGAATGGTCAACTATTATTTCATATACGAAGGCAAATTAATGGAATGAAAGGTAGGTTAGGTAAATGCAATCTTTATTCAGTATATATACTTTACTGCCCAACAAATGATTCGAAATGCACAACATTTATGAAAGTAACTGTTATGTCAGTTGACCAGATTTAAGAGTGTCTGTTTCAACACTGCTAAGGAGACTCTGTCACCTTTCAACTGCCCTGATGACATGGCTTTTAAACTATCACCGTGTGTAAACACAAAGCTCTACTGTGGATTTATACATTTAGTGTGGCTTCATGCCCGTAGCCAGGGGGGGTTCAGGGGGTTCGGAGAACCCCCCACAAGGCTCAAAGGTCCACTTTTTGGTCCACTTTTTATGTAAAGGTCCACTTTTTGGTCCACTTTTTATGTAAAGGTCCACTTTTTGGTCCACTTTTTATGTAAAGGTCCACTTTTTGGTCCACTTTTTATGTAAAGGTCCAAGATTTTTCTTGAAAAGATTGACTGGAATCGTAGAAAAACTGCTCCCTTTGTCATTGATTAAAATTTGTCTCTGATTTTTTCTTGGAAATCCTCTCAAAAATTTTTTAGAAGGTTCAATTTTCAAAATTTTCCGGGGGAGCACCCCCCTAGAAACCTCGCGCCTTCGGCGCTCGAGGTCCCCTCAAGCAGTGGGAAGAACCCCCCATTCAAAATCCTGGCTACGGGCATGGGCTTGAAGTGTTGTCTATTAGAGCACCAGTCAGCATATTACGTGCGTTCTTGAGCACATGCTTGACTAGGGTGTGTCACAGGAAGTGTCCATTTAGCCAGTGTACCTGATAATTAAATAACACAGCAAACGTCCTTGGGGAATTTTCAATAGACCCATTCGACTTTCACGGACCACATAAACTGCTTACGTCACAGGGGGGACATTTCGAAAGAACGTCGTTCTAGAACGCTGAAGTTGAATGCGGCTTTCGCTCGCGATGTCCCCCCTGGCTGATCTTTTTTTTTACTAAAATGTAGGTGTCTTTTTTTCTCAGTAATATATGCGGAAATGACAGGAAAACAGGCACCAACATTGTATGGTGGGAATCCGTACAACAATTTAACGTTATTTTGTTCTGTGACGTATGCAGTTTATGCGGTCCGTGAAAGGAACTTTCGAAATGTCCCCCCTGTGACGTAGTTTCTATTCGAAATGTCCCCCCTGTGACGTATGCAGTTTATGAGATCCGTGAAAGTCGAATGGGTCTATTACACATCAGATCTCTGATAGGTAAAGTCCAGATAATAAGCATCTGTATTTGCTTGTGAGAGTATGACTAAGATAAAAAGGGGATCTTGGAAATCGTTGTCTTGTTTTGATATCCCGACAGATCCTAAACACTTGGTTAAATGACTCACTGTTGTAAGAAAGAATCCGATTATAGTATTTCTAGGGGTGGGTACCGGTATAGAAAATTCAGGTCCAGGTCCGGATCAGGTTCAGAGGATCAGGTCCAGGTCCGGACCTGAAACCGGACCTGATTATTGTACAGTAACTAGTATATCATATTTTGGCAAGCGAGACACAATTTCTTCGTGTACACGACACGGCCGTGCATGAGGCCGCTTTTCCTGATGAATAATACGGCTGAAATGCCAGCACATCCACAAATAATTTGATCAAATACTTAATTGCTGTGATCTAAAATGTTACAGGGTTCTCTTAGCGGGGGTTGTTTATTGTTTTGATTGTAAAACGCAGGGTAAAATACGCTAAAAATTTAGCCACGCTGCGGTCCACACTTCCGGGTTAAGTGACGAGAAAATCACGTCGAAAACGCTAAAAATCCGCATAGAAGCATATATTTTCCCCAAAGATTCTTGAAACTATGCATTTCTTCACTAGAATATCGATGTGTGGTTGTGGAAAATAGAATTTTAGCGCCGATATCGAACAAAGAAAAGTTGTTTACACGCGCGTCGGCTCGCTCAAGTCTGCCGCCAGCAGCGCCGGCGGCGGACGCAACAACCAATCAGAGATGCGAAATGCCGACACGTGACGCGGGATTGCGTCACAATGGGGGAGGGCTCGTCGTGCACGAAATATTTTTGCTTCAGCGCCGTGTTTCAAGAGATTAATACCGGGAAACAATTTCTCTTGTTTTTGAACGCATAAACATGGATTTAGGCTGATCTAGTATGATTCAGGGTTATTTTTTTTTACCTGCCATGGCCAGATTATCTAAAGATGTGTGTGTGTTGTGTGTACAATCTACAGAAATGTACATCAGGTCCGATCATCCGGTTTTCACATTTCGGTTTTTTGGACTCGGTTCTTGAATGTTGTTCCGGTCCAAACCGGTCCGACTGAACCGGTACCCACCCCTAAGTATTTCCTTAGATTATCAAGGCACTTTATCTTTCTTACACCCACCAATTCCTGTTGAAGTTTGTGTATCTTGATGTGTATGGAAAAGATAAGATCTTTGAAGTTTCTTTGTATGGATGATAGTCGGTTTTCAGTCATTTATCCCTTTCTACATATTTTCGATGTAGTACATTTTTTGGGAACATTTATAGTGTAAGACATTGTAATCATGCCCCATTACACAGCTAGTTTCAGATGTTATAAACGCAATTTCAGGTATAAAGTAATGTTGTCCCCCAGTAAGACCCATTTAGAACTTAAATCCAGCCTGTCACGACCAGTTTGCCCTGTGGGCTTCTTCAAGTGTACAGAGGCTAAATGACATAATCTCCAAGCAGATCATACAGGGGCTAATGGACACCCTCTGGCCAATGGATAACTGCCTTGCCACCGTATGATCTGCTTGGAGATTAAAATGTTCTGACTTTTATACCTTTCCAGTGCAAAACACAATTTTGAAAAAATACCATTATCGATAAACTCAACACCTGTTTTCCCCGCAGCTGGATGGAGAAGACGGCATGCGTGTGAAGGACCTGGTGGCAGACGCTATCCTGGAGTACCGGCTGACGGACTACCGAGTCACCATGTCCTCCACCAGGGCTATCCTCAATCCTGACGCCAACGCGCTCATGCTGAGGGGAGAGGACATACTTATAGAGGACCTGGCATCACAGATAGAGGCTATAGATCCAAGACTAGGTAAGGGTTTGATTGAATTGCCTTGACACAGGCCATAGTACTAATATTATATCCTTAAAAATAGTAGCAATGTTCTTCCCTGTGTGAGTATTTTAAACCTTACAGTCTGGTCTCTGGGTTTACTTTTTGAAAAGGTGAGTCACCTGTTATGTCATTCCTTCAATAGATGAATAGATACTTGAAAACAACAATTATCGTACCTGAAGGAAAGAAACAAACATTATCCTTCTCCCTACCAAGATTAATCTCCAAGCAGATCTTTTGGTGGGGGTAAGACAGTATCAAATTGGCCAGTCTGTATCCATTTCCCCACCCAAGATCCTTGGGTGG